TATACGAAGCATGAGTAGCTTTCTTTTGAAAATGACTCAAACACCACCAAATTTACCTTGGAGGGCTTGTAGCACAAATAAGGCTGCCATTTTCAGTTATTCTTTCCAAAAGGAAAAGCAGAAAGATAAAATTTTCCTGCTAGCTTCCTCGTTTACTGTTTGGCTTTTGTCCTATTTGATTGGTTCTTGTTATAAAGCATATTCTAATTATAAGTGTTTTTTTACCATTGTACTCTAAATATAAAAATATATATATTAAATATATCATCAATGTTGCTATAAAGTTCTTGTTTGATCACGGGAATGCATGGACCACCTCTCAATGGACTTCGTTTAGGCTATGTTTGGTGCAGCCAAAAAAACAAACAAAAAGGGATAAGATTTGTTATGAGAGGAAAGGAGAGGAAAAGAAAGTATTTTAATGAACAAAGAATTGTATTTATTTCTTTTATAAATTTTGTCTTTTATAAAAATAAGAGTAAAATTAAATTAACATTAACAAAGTTTCATTAAAAATGCTAGTCTTTTATCCTCTTTCTTTCTATTTTTTCCCATTTTTTAGACGATAACAAAACCAATACAGCATGTATAATTTATTTCCTTCACAATCCCTTGTTTTTTTTTTTTCCTTTACGCTCAACACATCTTTAGAAAAGAGATTGTGTATTTCCTTCTTTTTGTTCTATTGGAAAAAAGAAAAGGGAAGAAGGGAATAAACTTATAATTTTCTATGTTCGTTAAGAGAGAATGAAAGAGAGAGTTTTTATTGTTTTTACCATTATATTCAATAATATTTATAATATTGTAATTTATAGAGGATAGTAGTGTAATTTAAAACTTGTATAATTTAAGATAGTATTTTATTTAAAACTTCTATAATAGTTAACTTGTCTTTCCCTCATTTCTTTTGCCTTCCCCTCATTTCTTTTGCCTATTTTTGAGCAGATGAAAATTTATAACTTAGAATAGGATGGATCATTCTTCCTATTCTCCTATCTTTCCTTCTATCATCTCTACAGTCTGTTCGTCCCCCTCATATCTATTCTCTCTCCATACATCTTCCTTCCTACTGAACACAACATTAAAAATTAATACTAAACATAATATTTCATTTCTCTCCATTATCTTTCTTTCCTTTTCCTTCCAATACCCTCTTGGCAAACTGGACCTTACTGCATATTCCATTTCCTTTAGGGCTCCTCTATGGCAATCGGTTATATTTCACGATTCTGTTTTCATTCGAAACAGAATTAATATATTTGTACTGAATTGTGTTCATTTGTGATTAAAGATTTGAAGCGTGTGTTGCATGTTTTTTAGAAGCAAAAACATAAAATCTTGTTTGGTAAAAAATATATAGTTTAAGCAGACCTGCTACAATTTTATTTTATTTTATTTTTTGGTACTATTCACCATTATAGGTGCAAAAACATTAGAAAACATTAATTTTTATATTTTATTTAGACCTCTTTTTTATAACAAAAAAAGGTTATAAATAATATGGTCAAGTACAGAAAACACCCCTAAAGTATGTTAACAGTGCGCAAAAAACCCCCATAAAGTTTTAATTTGGTGCAAATAGGTTTTCTGACAAATTTAAACTCTAAGTTGACTAAATTACCCTTACTAAACCATTTTATAAAAAACATTCAAATAAATAAATTTTTAAATGACAGAGAAGGACAATATTGGAGGACGCCCTTCACATGTAAAAAACACTCCTAAAGTTTCAATTTGATGCAAATAGGTCCCTCTGACAAAACCCTTACTGAACTATTTTATAAAATATATAAAAATAAATAATTTTGTAAAATGATCGAAAATGAAACTTTTGGAGGACGCTGACAATGGACAAATAAAGATAAAAATAGAAAATAAAAATAAAAGTATAAAAGAAAAGTAAAGATAAAAAATAAATAAATAAAAAACGAAAATAAAGTACAAACTAAATAAAATAAATCTGCTCAAAACTCCAAAAACCAATGCACACTTATATTGGGATATATATATATATATATATATATATATATATATATTAAACGGTGTTGGTACGAACAAAATAAAATAAAGAAGAAAAAATAATTAATAGAAAATATTAAACTAAAATCTCAAAAAATTCAAATCCTTGTTCTACAAATTTTAATGTTTCAAAAAAAAAAAGTTTAGAAATATATATAGAGAAAAAAGTTACAAAAAAAAATATATGTATAAAGTAATGTGCACATAATACCATTATATTATGATATTAGTAACACATATACCCCTGGACATTTTCGGAAGAGTAAAATGGCAAAACATTTATTATAGTAAAAATTTATGTCAGATTTTTATTGAAGTACTTTTGCACAATGTGAAAAGATTAGGGATGTTTTTTTTTATATATTTTTTCAAATAAAAATAAAAATAAAAAGACTACACGAAAAATACTTTAAGATATTATTTTGCACTTTTTCCTAAATAATAGATTGTTCTCATAGACCCCCCTAAAAAGGTATTAGGAAATAAGGCTAGTTATTTTGTTTGTTTAATTGTTTTATTAGTTTTCTTCCATTACAACGACTTTCTATTGTCAAATCATACCAAGGGCACGGGTCAATATTTTTTTTAATATGGGCGGCTATGCCTACAATACAAGATCTTGAAGTTCACATCTTATGATGTTGCGGTTTGAATAATATTTTTTTTACTTTTCGACTTTTACATGGATATTGTAGATCTCACTCTTCCTTGTTTAGACCTATAAAATGAAACCATTTTTTTACAAAATTGTTCTCTTTAAAATAATTCTCGTGCTCCAAGCCTCTAACTCAATGCTTTCAAGCCGTAGTATCTCTTATGAGCTGAACACGATACAATAGGACAGTGTTGTGAGATACTTTGTTTTAATGTTTGACAAATTTTAGTGTCAAACTTGTCGACGAAGTTATAATTTTAGAATTATTTTGTCTTGGTCATTCGAGTTGAATTGCAAATGCTTCAAACTGTAGAATTGAATGAAATATCACTTAAAACATGTATACGAATGAATACACTATACATTTTAAGTTTGGTGTGGTAGGGATTGGGTAAAACTTGCTTTTCAATGAAAAATTCGAAATATGTCAAAGTCCGACTGGTGCAACTATTTCCAACTGGTTGCACTTTAGCAGAATGGTGTTTTGAAGTTTTTCTTAAAATCTTCCAAAGTTCAATCGGTCCAACTTTTTTCAACTCCTTGAAGAATAATTAGCTAAACTTTTTCTAACTGGTCAAACATTCGAATACGGGGATTTCAGTTTTTGATAACATTTAAGTTTTCTTTTTGTATCAAACTCCTTGAGATTTCTTAGTACAATTTTAAAATCTATTTCCAACTGGTTGCACTTCATCAGAATGGTGTTTTGAAGTTTTTCTTAAAATCTTCCAAAGTTCAATCGGTCCAACTTTTTTCAACTCCTTGAAGAATAATTAGCTAAACTTTTTCCAACTGGTCACACATTCGAATATGGGATTGCAGTTTTTGATAACATTTAAGTTTTCTTTTTGTACCAAACTCCTTAAGATTTCTTAGTACAATTTTAAAATCCTTTTATAAATATTTTGAGTACTCTCTTAGTTATAAATACTTCTCTAAACTCCAGCCTTTAAAAAGACTTTTATGCTTCAATTGGGAGAAAAACCTATAATATATTTTTAGACCATCGGAACTATTTGAGAGAGATTTTAAGAAAAAATCTATTTTATCTTTTTGAGAATACACATTTTTAAACACGTGAGTAATTTAGGGTGATGTTCTTTATCTAATCGAGATGGTTTTACTCAATTAACACTTGAGTGATGTATTGGTGATATTCTTCATCTAATCGAGGGAATTTTCCATGGAGGCTCGAACTCCTAACCTTCTTTTGGAAAGTAGAGGTTTGTACCGCTAGACCACTATCGGTTGATAAATGTAATATAATGTATTATTATAATATAAGGGTATTACTGATTTTGCACCTCAAACTCACTTTTCAGCTGCTGGATAACGGGTTTAGGAGGGACAAAAATAATAAATGCCGAATAGGTTATCTATGTGTAATTTTTCCAAACCTCAAGGAGAGGTGTCTGTAATTGACTTCATTGTGTTTTTTTTTATTTTATAGAATTGTGATATTGCTATTACTCTTTGTCCGTATCATGCTTAAAGCACAGATTTTAGCCCAAACTTAGCAAAGCCCAATCTCAAACTACCACAATAGACCGGTTTAGCCCATTATTCCCAAAGAATTAATGGAACTTCAAATTTATATGATTTTTGGTTTTAAAAAAATAAAAATAATAATAAAAAAACTAACTATTATTATTATTATTTTAACAATACCTCCCAAAACATATATATATTTTTTTCCCCAGAAACCCCTCTAAAGTTTTATGAAATCCTGCAATAATTCTTCTTGTCTAAGGAGACGTTAAAGAATAAATGGAAGGCTCAATGGCCACACTTGCAATTACTTGACATTTATTCAAGGCAGAATGACAATTATACCCTTTTATTGATCAAATAAAAGATGGTTGGACGAGTGGTAGCAAATAAAACCTTAATGACAAGATAGTTGAATAGGTAAATGGGGAAGAATGCTGCAAGGATCTCGTCCACATCGATAATGTCTTGAACTTATAAGAGCGAGTAAACAACACCACCAACAACCCATTTTTCTTCCGGTTACGAGGGCCCAAATGGTAATTTTTATTTTTGGTTGGAAAGAATCCAACTTGCACACCCAATGTCCCAATGTGGATTTGTTCAACCTCCCATATGAAAGAGAGGATCCCACTTCAGTTAAAACCCTAAATGGTGATTCACTCACTATCTTGCCAAATTTAAAGTGTCACAAGCCTTAGAAAATGGTCATTTACTTGAGCTAAAACACAGTTTTGACCGTAAAATTTTTCAAGCATCTTGTCCAGATTAACCAATTGGGATTTTCAACCAATATATAGAAAAAGAAAGTGTAAATGATGGTGATTACAATGACAAGTAAATGCAAGAAAAACTATGCCTTATTTTACAAATCAAGGGTATGATAAACAAGTGACTCCATTCCTACAAGAAAGTATACTCATCTCTATATACAACAATAAAGAGAAACAAAAACAACAACAAACCTTTTTTTTCAGACTATTTGGAATCAGCCACATAATCTATATTTCCATTCTACCCACTTTAACTTTTGTCGTTCTCTTTCCTTAATATTACCTTAAACTATATCACTCTTCCTATCTGACATAGTGACACATTTAAAGATCTTCTTCACAGATGTCTAAATCATCTTTAATCGATTTTCCCTCATTTAAGGGAAAGACAAATCATACCCAATTGTTTGGCAGTGAAAAATCGTGGAACCGAAAGGAAGCGTCTCCTGCAGTATCTCTTGCAAGTGTGAGCTCTCTCTCATCACCGCTCTCACTTAAAAATTCAGATGGTAAGGGTAGTATCTGATTCTCATGAGGAGGGCGTGGTTGTTGGATTTCTGATGGTAGTGGTAGCACGGGAATGGAGGCGGTCCTGTGCCTGGTGTTGCCCCCACTTGGGGAAGCTAATGTTTGATCCCACAAAAACACATGAATGAGGATAGGCACCTTGGCATGCCGATGCAGTGAGAGCTTCTGGCTTAGGGAGACAGTGTCGAAGCACCGGATTGCTCCTGTGGGAGAAACTATCCAAGGAAGAACCTTCTGGTTAGATACTCTGGAGACCACCAGGAGTTTAGATGCTGTTGTTGCTTGGTTGTAAAGATTGCTGAGTCCTGAACGCATAGAAGGCGTGTTATCATCACCATCAATGACTGAAGAAATGTAAATGAATCCCTGTCAATTAAAAAGTAAAGATGAGCACAACTTCAAAAGATTTGAAAACCAAGGAAGTAGCAACTGAATGACGGGAAGAAATTTATAATTGAGAATGCACTTCTAAGCAGAGTTAAAAACATAAAATTCCAACATAATTGGTAATTTTTAGAGTAATAAAAGTAAACCGTAGTGCTTTTTTTTTTGTACAATTCAAAGATGAAATCACTGGAAAATTTTTCATTTTCGACTTTGATCACCCACATCTTCCAAATGTGATGATGAATTTTAAAAAGAAGAGAGAAGGATATAACAAAAAAAAAAAAAAAAAACACAAAGGGGGGGGGGGGGGGGGGGGGATATTGTTTTTTTGGTAATGAAAAGTGGCCTTGACAATCCTATTACATTGTGTATCTACCGTAGGAGCTCGAAAAATAAGATAATAACCTCTTCTGTGCGACTAATGGCAAAGCCAAGCTTTGCATCGCCTTCTTTTAATTTGATCTCCACTGCAATCTCTCCTCCGAGAGGAGCATACCAGAGACGAGCTGCTCTAACTACACCAATGTCCACCCCATGGTAGTCCTCGAAACCGTACAGGCTTGCGTTTGCAAGATTTGATAAATCCGATAATGATCCAGCATTTACGGTTGAAGAAGCCGTCTCGCCAGATATCTGTTCGAAAAAGAAATAAGAAACATACAACTGCAGTTGTCAGGTAACACTCGGGAATTACCAAGGCCAAATGTTATAATGATTTGACAATGCTTTGAAATATGAGCATTTCGATCAGTACATTTTCAATTGAATTATCTCCTAATTTTTACTGTAAATCGGTAATCACTTCAATGTAACAGAAAAGGCCCCACGTGTGCCACAAAAATGTGACAATTCCCAAGAAAAAACACATTTCAGTACCCCTAAAATGATAAAAATGAATCCTCGACAAGGAATGGTGATGGTTTTAAGATGAATGCTCGAGCATGACTCCCATAGAAACATTGGACCTTCGACTGTTTCTTCTTAATTGATATCGTTTGACAATATAGAAGGCCAATTATAGCCAAATACTAGTTTAAAATTATGATAGATGAGTTAAAACCATTCTTCTTCGAGGCTGCTTCAAAACACAGACGACTATATGAATAGGCTGTCAATCATATGACAACTGCACATTATAACAATGAAGGCTAGCAACATTGTGTCGAACCAATGTCACAAACAAAAATATAGTGTTTCTTTCCCTTTATGGCCTCTGACCATCTATGGAGCTCAATCAAGTCAAATGTATTATCAAATATAATGCGTTACTTGAAATTTACCTTGGTAAGTAAGGATTCTGTCTGAATGTTCATGAAAACAATAGGGACTCCTGATGCCTGAGACGCGTTCAGCCATGCATTTGCTCTTGCAAGAGTGTCTTCCAGATCATTGTAGCGGGAAGCGACTCTATCAGAAGCTTTTGGAAGGAAAAGCATAGAGACAAAGCAGCTTGAATTGGGTACTGATAGCATCTCCTGCATCCTCCTCTGCCATGGATACGAGACGTATCCATCTTGAAGTTGGGTCCTGGTTAGTGCACTCACCATCCGGGAGGTCCTTGAAGCTGCATGTAAAAATAAAAAATAAAAGGGTAAAATATAAGAAAATACAATGCCATGTTTCTCGAGTCTAATGAGTTCAGTTCTCATGCAGAAATTGGAAAAATGCCAAGAGATGAACTTTCAGACCACAATCAACTGCCAAGAAGACCCCAAAATGGTCATGGTATATCATTTCAAAATAACAAAATCACTAATAACTCCATGAGCTGTCACTCGAGGCTCCCGAATTCGCTTTTGCTCCCGCTCTATGTGACTTTGGTGCTAAAGTAAGGTAATTTCTCTTATTTAATTGAGTATAAAATTTATAATGCACTAGCTACGTGAGTATAGGAAACCAAGTCCTAAAAATCTATACAAAACTTGCTACAATGATCACAAGAATAAATTTAGCACACGTGGACATAAAATCAGGCTGAACTTTGGGGCAATAATATAAGTTGAGACAATGCTTAACAATTCACCGGTGAGTAGGGTGAAGCTACTCACCCTTATATGGTCCAATAATAAAATAACACATCACATTTAATAATAAAATAATTCTCACATTTCTCTATTTTCTCGGATCAACTATCAAATAAATGTAATATAGTGTTTTTAAGGGTATCCGATAAGTTTTTTTTTTTTACCTGTAGCTTGATTTGCGCATCAATCAAGATTGAAGTAAAAAGGGCCTAAATTGTTTGGCACCCATCATTTCTTCAATGGGGTCAGACAATTTGGATAAACTTTTCTAGTTGGAAGACCCGTACACTTCTCATATACACTTTTTCTTTTTTGCCCTTTTTGCCTTTTTCCAAGTTACTGTTTGGTTTTGTACTTCACAACAATTTTCAACAACAGTGAAAACAATGCTATCTGAGTTGTTTATTTATTTATTTTCAGAATTCATTGAAATTGGACAAAAATTAAATTCATACAACAAATTAGTAACATTACAAAATTTGAACTCCCACCAAAAAGGAAACCACATTTTAATTAAAAAATTAGATATACTCAACAACTTCATCAAAATATTTTACGTAACTACTTGGTCTACTACTCCATTTTTGTTCTATCTAAGGTACATTCTGGGAAAAATACAATACAATATCATTTTTGCAAAAAATAATGATGTAAAATAAATAAATATTACTATAATAGAGTATTGTTTAAATATTTTAGTAACTTGCTCTAGTTTATTAATAAATATAAGTAAGTGTACTTATTTATTGAAAAAAAACATAACTAACATTTTCTGAATCACCCACTAAGCACTTTGTAGAGAGGACTTGACTTAGCCAAAAATTATTATATGGTCCTAAGATTTTAAGTCACACATTTATTTATTTATTTTTTAATGGATACTGCTTTCACACTCCCGGCATTCTCTCACTCTCTTTGTTATTAATTGTGACTTAAATTTTGTCAGACTCTCGCGAGAAACTTAACTAAGATCATTGATTTTGGTATAATTATTAGTTAATGCATAAATAAATATTTAAATTTATTCAACAAGTGATTATCCGGGACAACATAATAAATTTTCGAGGGCTGCGATCACAAAAGAGCAAGTGATCACAGCCGTCCAAAATGTAAATACCAGAGAGCTACACCATTCAACGTCTATGCAGTGAATACAAAACACTATTCTCGTTCTGATACGTGTGTGATCATATCACTCGTGTGTGATCAAATGCGGATAGATAAAGAGAGTCAAACTGTGACAATTTAAAAGTCAACCGTACCTTGCAATTCGAAGCACTCAGCCTCCGTCCGATCCATGAATCCAACGGCGTAGTTTGGATCCTCAATGGCACGCAACATATACTGTCTCTTCCCACCGGACTCGTTGGGCACAATACACGCCTGCAACTCGGCGAACTCGTCGAGTCCGCGTCGGACTCGGACCTGAATCGACGTCTCCTTGTTCTTGAACGAGTTGTGCAGAGTCTTCTGGACTCCGACCCTGCCGTTCCTGAACGGCGACCGAACGCACTCGTGGCTTCCGATCTTCAGCTCCTCCAGTATGTCGCCGGTCTGCAACATGTCGCCGGTCCATTCGTCGGCCGTCGAGCTCCCTTTCAAGCATTCGATCGACAGAACCGTCACTCCTCGGCCCCCTCCGGTCTGAAATTCGGCCGAATTTGTTCGGTCAGTTGTCATCCTTCACCAACTACAATCAACCAGATCGTCCAGAATTCTAGAGAGAAAAAGATTGAGACTAGAGAGAGAAAGAGGTACAGTATGGAGTCGTACTAGAGGATCAACTTTCTTGTTCACCGCGATCGAAGGAATTCAAATCTAGCGGACGGTGTAGAATTCTAGAGAGAGAAAGAGTTGCAGAATAGAGTCGTACCGTACGTTCACTGCTCTGCTACGTACGAACTTGACTCGTTGGATAAACTCGTGTGAGTTCAGATTGTTACGAGTCAACTCGTGAGGAGGAAGTTTCTCTCTCTATAGTACTATAAATTTTCTCTCTCTCTATATATGTGTATGTATTGATGGTCCGATGATGTTTGTTTTGCGGAGATTAAAGAGGAGTGGGAGGGAATATATGGATCGAAGAAGTCAAAAATGAAAAATGTTAAAGAATAGTGGGAAGTTTCTAATTCGAGTATGAAACTGAATTTCGAAGAAGGCTACACGTTTTTTAAAAAATACTACCATTAAAACAAAAAATTTGAGTAGACTTTGTGTGCCATTTTCCTTCTTGTTATGATTCCTTAAATAAAGCACAGTGTGAAAAGGAAAAAGATACTCTACCAAGAGATAGACCTTGTTGATGGATCCGGTTGGATGACTTAATCCGTATTTGATTAGTTTAGTTGAATTATCCAATTCAAATAGTTAATGAGGTATTGAATTGAATAATTTAATTCATTATCTAATTATTTCGATTAGGGGTGTACAAAAATTAGGTCAAATCGGAAATTCAAATTGGACCAAATCGAATCGAACGGTTTCGTTTGGATTGCTAACGGTTTGATTCGGTCACAGTTCTAAATTTATAAAACAGTAAAGATATGATTTGGTCACGGTTCTAAATTTATGAAGCAGTAAAGATATGATTTGGTCACGGTTTGAGGTCCTTTAAGACTGAATCGAACCGTTTAGTTATATATATTTATATATATGTTAAATTATATATATAATTTAATATAATCTTACAATCTAAATCACTTAGAAGTTTTCCACTCTTAATTCTCTTGGGTCTTATCAATTTATTAGATAGTTATTATTTTTAATTGATTTACAATGGCTGAATTTTGTTAAATTTTTGAATTGTTGCTGAATATTTGTTGCTGAATTAGTAATTCTGAATGTATTAGGTTATTAGTAATTATGAATTTATTCACTTCAGCTCTAGAAGCAACAGGGAATAATGAATTAAAAGTTCTAAATGTTTTGGTTAACTTGGTTTATTGTGGTGCATTTGGATTTTGAAATAAATAGGGGGGGAAAAGAAGGAAAAATAGGAAGAAGAAAAAAAAAAAAACATAGAACCGAACCGAACCAAATCGGTTTCTCACGGTTTGGTTCATTTGGTCAAATGGTTCGGTTTGGTTCTAGATTTTCTGGAATCGTTACGATTGGTTTGGTTCCAAAAAACTCTCAAAGCGGTCCAAATCGAACCGTGTGCATCTCTAATTTCAATTTCGAATCAAAATTGAATTCATTGATATGTCTAATTATAAAGTTACGTGGAACATAAAGTTATTAATATATAAGATGGTGAATCATATAACTATGCAACCAAATAAATTTAATAGTAAATAACTCATATATATATATATATATATATATTGTAATTTAATAATATAAATATAATTTTAATCGCATCGGATCACTATTTGGTTGGATTACTTTTAATCCATGTCCGATTTGTTAAAGTAATGAGTTATTGGATTTTTTATTCACGAATTGGATTCGGATCAAAATACCTTTTATTGACGGGTCTAAATTCGATACTCTTTACTCTAATACAGAATCAGGATCTTTCCTGTGATGGCCCTGGTTTTACAAGCCAGTGCGTCCTGTGATGATGGATAACGGATCTTGAATGCGGAAGCGAAAGACAAAACTAAGGTCTCTAGAGATATAACACATCTCTAAGATGCCAAAGTGACCTTCCATGAGGTCACAGAACTCAAAGGGAACAAGAAAAAAAGTTAGGGTTGAAAATAGATCAAGTATAGCCCCAAGGGCAAAATGATCTGTTCACCCAAAAATAAAGTCTCTAGGGATACACATTATCCTTAAGACGCCAACTTAATTTCCCACTAAGTTACGGAACTCAAAAGATGATAAAATGCAGAAGCGACGTTTTAAAAATAGGAAATTGCAACCCTAGGGGTAAAATGGTCATTTTAAAACAAAAGTGGGTGCCACCGTGCACACCATTGAAAAGATAACGAAGAATTAATGAAGTTAGACTCAAGAATCACTTGATTCGGAGTCCGGACGAAGGAGTTATGGTCAAATGAAAATAGGGCATCAAGGCTGCCAAGGAGGGCACCATGGGCGCCCGCGGACGCGCGCCACACGCACGCTGGTGCACGCGACCAGCACTCTGACAAGCCACAAGGCCTGCACCAAATTTTTGAGGTTCAAATGGGATTTTGAGGGCTTAAATGATATTTTTTGAAAAAAAGTTATGAAGTGACCTCCCCTCCCCCCAAAAAAAAAAAATCATATTTTCTAAGTGACCATGTTAAGAGAAATTCTTATTTTTTAAGTGAAATACCCAAAATGCCCTTAAGACCAGATTTGCAAAAAAAAATGAAAATGAAAGCTACTCCAAGTGTTCATTTCACCAAAAAGGGTGTGTGCGCAATTGTGCACATGCATGCAAACGTAATATGCATATTTAAGTGTATTACAATGGCCAACAGTCTTAACATATGTCATTTGCAAAATATTACATATCAAACCTCAAAAATATAACATTTTCATAATTAAATCATGAAACCAAAGTGCATAAAAGTAAACTTAAAGTTACTTGGCCCTTGACCTCATTACACATATATCAAATAAGTCTCAAAAGGTACACTTAAGTACACATTACATATTTCAAATGAAAGATACAAGTTTCGGCATATAAAACCAAAATAAAGCAAAACATGCTAACAAGTGCATGTATACAAATGCGCTAAAGTACTTCCAAGTTACTACACAAGTCTAAGGATGTTGTGCATCCCAAAATAAGGTTTCTTTACTTGAAAAATATCCAAAACAATTAGAGTGAGTAAACAAAGTTACTCGTAGGAAGAAATGTATGCGTATACTCTAAAGTTTCAAATATTTTGTAAACGCAATATAAATCAATACAAGGGATCATTCCACCTAGCGTTTATGTTACAAGGTGAACTAAGAGATCATCTCAAGCTACGCAAGTAATCTAAATGATAAGTACAAGGCATACAAGTATACAAGTGCAAATATACTAAATCGTAAAAAGACTTTAAGCACCAAATCACAAGCTATAAGTAATTCATGATTAATAACTTGAAATTGAATGCGAAATCAAGATATACAAGGCATTAGCATACAAGATGCAAGTATACTAAACGAAATTGAAACACTACGCACAAACTCACAAGCTACAAGTGATCAATGATAACAACTTGGAATTTAATACAAAATCAAAATATACAAGGCATTAACATACAAGATACAAGTATACTAAAAAAAATTGAAATGCTACACACAAACTCACAAGTTACAAGTAATCAATGATTAATAACTTGGAATTGAATGCGAAATCAAGTAGTGGAAAGATTAGGATATGTGGTCGTTAGACCAAACAAATGATTTCAGGTAATTACAACCCACAAGGTACTACCTAGTGCGCACTATTGTTGTAGGGAGAGCTCATATCTCCCGTACTAGAGATGTGCCCTAGCCGTAACATTTTTCAGTTCTTACAAGCTTTTCAAAATCAACATATAAACCCAAAACTTATACAAAATCAAATAATGCATAAAAACCACATTCCATGCACAAGTAAAGTTGAAACCACACAAGTCATATCCTAGGATTTTAAATCTAAAATGACATCTAAAATGTCAAATCTTCAATGTGCGATTCGCTACATATACAAGCTATAAAATATTGAATCTTCAATGTGCGATTCGCTACACATATAAGGCATAATATTACATATCATGCTAAATTAATCATCTTATCATCAAAGTAAGCTACGAATACTAAATTTACAATAATTTAGTAATAAGCTTGCAAGGCAATATAATATTCTACAAGAGTTCATTATTACAACACTTATGAAATCTCTAGAATTTAATAACTATATAGTGAAGCATTCATCCTAAACAAGATCCATAGACTACACATGCTTTAAAATCATTAAGCCCTAAATTAAGTATATAAAATCTATATCCAAATGTAACCCTACACATGATACATAAGATATACATGCTTTAAATCATAATTTTTCATTAAATCAAGTTACCATTATGCAAGCCACAATCACTAAGCATACTAGAACCTAGTAATAAGCTTTCAAGGTAAACATAATTAATATTTCACAAGAGTTTATCATTTCAACAAGACTAAGTCTCTAGAATTAATTAAATATAATAGTAAATGAAACAACTTAGTTACACATGAAATACATACTATACATGCTTTGAATTATAAAGCCCTAAGTTAAGCATATAATTTCTACCTTTATATGCAATACAATAATTCTATAAGCATGTAATCAATGTATATTAGGCTCCAAATATTTTTAATACACAAAGGAAATAAACATATAACAACCCCTACCTCAATAGAGAATAAAATCTTTGTAATCCAAGGAAAATAAACTCAAAATGCAAAACTGAAAAACGGTCTTCTAGATCAAGAAGAGAGGAAGATATGATCTTCAATGTGGGAGACCAAATTCCTAAAGCAAGGGTGTCGAAATTTAGAAATGGCCAAAATAGGTTCCATAGGATTCCCTAAACTGCCTACTCGAGATTCACCCCTCTAGAATCCCATGTAAATAAGGTCAAAATGAAAAACTGGAAAAAAATTGTTCTAGATTAAGAAAAAAGGAAGCTATGATTTTCAAGGCCTAAGATCAAACTCCTAAGACAAGGGGATCAAAAACTAAAAATGGCAAATTAGGTTCTATTTCGCTGCAAGGTGGAAGTTTAGAGAAAAATGAAAATTTCTCTAATTCCTCCACTAACTCAAATCCTAAGTTGGCCCAATACACAAACACCAACACTACCTTTCACACACACATATGCAAAACCAAATATAGGCCCTCCATTTGTCACCAAGCTAGGCTCCTTCACAAGATTAAATCAAAAACCTACACTTGTCACCATCCAAAGCCTCATCTCAAGGCTTAATCCAAGCCCTACACTTGCCCTCTTCCAAGGCCAACAAGTGGACAAATCCTAGGCCACCAAGTGTCACCAATGAAATGATAACAAGTGGACCAATGGGAGTGTGACACTTGTTACACTTTTTCGAAAATTACAAAAAGGTTCCTCCCCAAAATATCTTCAAAAATAAATTACAAAAAGGTTTCTAAGACAAATATCTAAATAAAATTTAATTACAAAAAATACCACGTAAAATAAAAATATTTCTAAAGAAACTATGCATCCACGCCCCTAAGGAAAAAGTATACAAGTAGCATGCTTTTCTACAAAAGTAAAACTACGCATTTTAAGGAAATCAAATGGAATGCATGCTC